TAACAAGTTTTCCTTGATCTTTCTTATTTCCTTCACCCCACCGCACACTTTTGAACCCCTACTTTATTCAAGCCCAATCCACGCTCCCTCACCCCTTAAATGTGTCTTCATTTGCTTTTACAGATTCGGTTTTGCACTTAAAATTCAGCTTATCACAGAGAAGTTTGTGAAAAATGGAACATGGTCTTTACAAAGAAACTCTGAGAAACTCAACTGGCAGATCAGGTACTGAATAGCTGTTGTTGTGTAATGTATCTGCTCATCTACTTTCCATCAATCAATAGCTATTCCATGACGTTCGATTTTATTCTTTTACAGGCAATGGAAGATGCAGTAATTTGTATTTTGGGTAGATCTGTTGGGTGACCGGGTAGTTGGAGGCTTGGAAGTGCACAATGCTGAAATCAGGGAGATCCATTCAATGACTATTGAAACAGTCCAGATGAAACTATATAAACTAAGGCAGTAGAGTGAGAATATGAAGGAACTGATGAAACAAGTTGCTAAGACGGAATGATTAGGCTGTGACAGCAGCATATTGGAGGAAGGAAGAAGGAGGAATCTAAGATGGATTTTTTTTCTTTTTTTAAATTTTTTATTGAAATATAGTTGATTTACAATGTTGTGTTAGTTTCAGGTGTACAGTAAACCGATTCAACCGTATGTATATATATATATGTATTATATAGAATATATGTATTCTATATAATACATATATATATTCTTTTTTTATATTCTCTTCCATTATACATTATTACAAGATATTGAGTATAGTTCCCTGTGCTATACAGTAAATTCTTATTGGTTATCTACTTTATATAGAGTAGTGTGTATATTTTAATCCCAAACTTCTAAGATTGATTTTTGCATTAAGCTATTGGAAAGATGGTGAGGCTCTTCACCAAGGTGGGGAATTATGGAGATAAAGCAATTTGCTGAGGGAAAAAAAAATGCACATTTGTTGTTGTTGTTTTTTAAACCAAGTTAGCACTTTCTGGATATCATTCGTATGAGATTAATAAATTCTGGATCCCAAGTAAGCTGTAGCCACTATATTTTACTCTAGATTTCTGAGTCAACACACTATGCGAGGGTTAAAGCCACGGGATAGAATTATAGCCCTAAGGAGTATATATGGAATGATAGGAAACCAGAGGCTGGAGAATAACACTCTGAACTCTTTAAGGCCAGGGATCATTTCTGTATTCATATGTGTATATCTAGAGTGTAGAACAATACACAGAATGTACTAATTATTTAGAATTGGCTTGTGGAAGGAAGAAAGTACATGACTTCCTTTTCAGGGATCAGATCACCAAAAGAAAGTAATATAGACTCCTCTTTATCTCCAGCAAGTCTCTCTGGCTGTAGACCCTGGAGTTCTTATTTTTGTATCTTCTCATGACCCCCAGTTGGTTCACTAGAATAATCTGCCTGGACCCTGATCTTGTTTTTATGAGGGCAATACTAAGCCTTTCTGAAAGGGGGCAATGTTTTATGACTTCTGGACTGAAACTGTTTTTCTTTTCTCCCATAGGAGGGGAAAAGTGTCCCAGAAAAGAATATATGGATGGGGGTGGGGTGGGGAGTGTCAGTCACTTTGTCTTGTGAACTGTGGTATGAGCCCTTATGGGAATCATAGTGTAGGGAAGATGGGATATTGAGCAGTTAGCAGCTATGGGTCACTGATCTGGGTATTAAGGATTCGTGATCAGCAGGAATGGGCAAGTGTCTACGGTAAGAGAGTTTGGCAAGTTCTCAAAGTCAGTGGGGGATGTGGAGTAAAAAGTGTCTCAGGATTGGTGATTCTCTTCCTGTGTCCTCACATTACTTTTATTACTGAAAACTTGGTTATTGTGTTACAGAAATTGCAGTCTGAGCCATATTCTGCCTGTCGATCTCATCACTGGGAGTGTTTTGACTCACTTGCCTCTTCAAATTCTGAATCCATTCTGGGAGTTGTAGCATTATGACCCATGCTTTCCATCACTGTAGAAGGAAGAACCCAAGTCTTGCCCTCAGGCCATTATGGGTATGTAATACCCATACCCTAGATCATAGAATTTCTAGAGTTTTTCCATACTTAGTCACTCAAAAGCCTCTCCTGTGGGGTTAATGTCAGGTTAGATTGTCCTTCTCTGACTTCTTTTAGCTGTTTCTATACTCACCTTCATGTCCTCTATGAAGCTTTGGCTTTAGTTGAGGAGGCAAAGAGTCTGTTCCTTTGAACTGTAGGAAAGACTCAAGACAAATTGAACTCTAGGTACTGAGAGTTGTACTGCACTTCAGCAAGATGTTCTGCACTTATTATATCCAAAGACTTCAAGAAGTAAAACTAGGACAGACTGGCATCTGATATAATAGTGTGTTATTATAATATATCAATTATCTCCTGAGTCAGACCTACAAGATAGTGGAGAAAGGGGTATCTCTTTTTAGGTAGGAAAGAGGCTGGGATCAGGAGCTACCTTCACTCTTAGGCAGTCAACCACATTCTCTCTTGTAGTCCCCCAACATCTCTAGTAAAAACCAGGAAACGTACTTGGAACAAGCACAGGGTAATGGCAATTTCAGGTCTGCGCTTCATTGAACAAGCCCAGAGACACTGCTTTTTGCTGTGCAAATGTCCGGTTTAGTAGGTAGCTGGAAAGCCCATTTCTGTGAACAAACTCTCTACCGTTTTTCTTTCTTCATGTTTGTGTAGTACATTTAATTTCACCAAAGACTTTCAAGCCATTATTCAATTTTCATGACAACCCAGGAAAATAAAATGGGCAGAGATTATCATCTTCTTTAAGAGATGATAGCTGAAGCATGAGCTCTAAGAAAAATAAAACAGAAGTCTAAATATGAGGCATCTACCATTCTAAATGAATTGGATTTACTTTAACATATTTTATTCATTAATTAATCTTTCTAACATTGGACTTCTAGTCCCATTCCCAGGGGTATAAATGAGGGCTAATTGGGACATGGCAGGCAACTGTACTTACCATCATTAGCCATAGGGAAATATAAATCAAAACCACAGTAAGATACCATGTCACACCCGCTAAGAGGGCTAGAATTTAAAAAATATATAAATAACAACAAATGTTATAGAGTATATGAAGAAATTGAGAGTTTCATACATGCAAGTAGAAATGTAATTTGGTATAGTCACTTTGGAAAACAGCCTGGCATGTTCCTCAGACAGATAAACGTAGTTACCATATGACTCAGCATTTCTACTCCTAGGTATAAACCCAAGAGAAATTAAAACATAATTCTACAAATACTTGCACATGAACGTTCATAGGAGCATTATTTATAACAGCTGCGAAGTAGAAATAATTCAAATGTCCTTCTACTTATGAATGGATAAACAAAATGTGGTATATCCTTACCGTGGCATATTATTCAGCTATCAAAAGGAATGAAGTACTGATACATGCAGCAACGTGCATGAACCTTGAAAACATGCAAAATGAAAGAAATCAGTCACAAAAGATCACACATCTTGTGATTCCATTTATTTCAAATGTCCAGAACTGGTAAATCTATAAAGAGAGAAAGTAGATTAGTGGTTGCCTAGGGCTGGGGGTGGGATGAGAGAAAAATGTTAATGATTGCTAAGGGGATACATTTTGTTGGGGGCAGGGGAGTAATGGTAATGTTCTAAAATGAATTGTTGTGATAGTAGCGCAGATCTATGAATATAATACCAAAAATATTGAATCATGCACTTGAAATAGGTGAATTGTGTGGTATATAAATTGTATTTCAATAAAGTGCTAATTTAAATTTTAAAAAAGGGAGAAAAGAAACTGGACTTACCTCCTGCAGCAGAAAGAAATGTGGGCTGCTGGCCTCTCAATCTCCTCTTATCTCATGGCTGAATTCCTTTATCCAAGGGATTAATCCCTTTATCCAAGGCTTCAGGCCTCCCCCTCCCATCTCATTCAGCTTTCTGGGTCAGGGTCTGCTGGACAATGGCCTTTGCACAGCCACTTCATGGCCCGAGATCAGCTTTTCTATGTTTCTCCCCAAGTTTGGATTACACTTTAAACCTGCAAAATTCCCTACATGTCTCTACCCGACCCCAGCCAACTGCTGAAGTCTGGTGGGTGAGGTGAAACCTCTGAAGGGAAGATGAAGGCTGCCTGGCTTCACTCACCTATACTTGCACATGCAGAAAAGGACAGAAATTAAGGAAAGCTTCTGGGGGTGGGGAAGTGTCTTGAAGCAACAGGAGGAGCCAGAAACACCTCCTATAGAGCCAATTCAAATACATTCAGTCATTCCAAGTCTAGAACTCTGCAGCACCAATCAGAAAGTGGGAAGAGGAAGAAATGTGTGTCCTAAGCAAGAAAGAACTGTGTCAGGATTTTAAAGAACAGCAGGTACAACAGGCTTTAATAATACCAGAGGCCGGGCTTCCCTGGTGGCGCAGTGGTTGAGAGTCCGCCTGCCAATGCAGGAGACATGGGTTCGAGCTCTGGTCCTGGAAGATCCCACATGCCACGGAGCAAATAAACCTGTGCACCACAACTACTGAGCCTGCGCTCTAGAGCTTGGGAGCCACAACTACTGAAGCCCACTCTCCTAGAGCCCGTGCTCCACAACAGAAGAATCCACCACAATGCGAAGCCTGCACACCACAATGAAGAGTAGCCCGCACTCGCCGCAACTGAAGAAAGCCCACGTGCAGTAACGAAGACCCAATGCAGCCAAAAATTAATTAAGTTTTTAAAAAAGCATGTTGTAATCATCTCATCTTAAGAAAAAACAACAACAAAGCCTTTATTTCCCCATTTCCATGCAGCCATCTGTCTTTTCTCATTTACAGTACTCTTACTGGATTCACTTTCTCTCCTATGCATTTACTTTTTTTTTTTTTTTTTTTTGTGGTACGCGGGCCTCTCACAGTTGTGGCCTCTCCCGTTGAGGAGAACAGGCTCCGGACGTGCAGGCTCAGCGGCCATGGCTCACGGGGCCAGCCGCTCCACGGCACGTGAGATCTTCCTGGACCGGGGCACGAACCCGTGTCCCCTGCATCAACAGGCGGACTCGCAACCACTGCGCCACCAGGGAAGCCCCCTATGCATTTACTTTTAAACCCACACCAATTAGGTTTTCTGTCCTCACCACTTTTCCAAATTGGCCTCATCGTGGCCCTCAATCTAACCTGTCTCTCTTGTTCAAATCCAGTGATCAGTTCTCCGTCCTCATCTTACTGACCTACCAGGATCACTTGACATAGTTGGTTACTCTCTCCTTTTTTTGAAACTGTTCTTCTTCATTTGGCTTCTTTCTCTCTCTAACTTCTTTTTCTGACTTAATGTTTTATTTCTTCTCAATTTCCTTTGCTGAATTCATCTAATCCTCCAGACTTCTAAATATTGTACTATCCATGACTCAGTTTTTTCTTACCTCTATCCTTTTACTATGATCACTAATTGCACAATTCTAAATACTCTGTTGATGCTGATGAACTCTAGACTCAATGTTGAACTACCTTCCTACACTTTTATTTGGATGTGAAATAGACATCTTAAATATATGTAAAACTGAACTCAATTTTCCATTTAACAACCTTATTTCCTGGTCATTTTTTTACCTCAACAAATAGCCAACCCATTCTTTGAATTTTTCTGGGGGATAATAATAATGGGAAAAAAAATAAAAAGTTTATTTCATCCTGAACCTCTCTTTCATACTCTAGATCCTACCCATTAGAAAGTCAATATGTTGAAATATAAATAAAGAATTCTTGGCTAATGTTGAATCGGAGAGGAAACAGGAACATATGATGCCAGGAAGTGGCTCAACTGGCAGGTAGCTGAATTTGGGTTTTCATGGGCACACAAGGGATTAAGGAGCTTTTCTTAATTGTCCAATCCCAGTCTGAGTCTCCACATACCACAAAACAGCTGTGTGAAAGCAAAACTCTTGGCTTGAGAAGGAAGTGTCAGCCCAGGCCCCTCACTATGAAGAAGGCAATTGAGACAAAGGAAATAGAAGAGTTGAAGGGTTGGGGGAGATGAAGCCCCCAGGGATTCAGAACACCTTGGAGAAGTCTCAAAAGTCCATTGTATGAGGCTGTGATGTCAGTGCTGAGGTCACAGAGGAGACCTGATGGAGTGAGTTCTGGCTTAGAAGGCTTCCGTGGTGGCTGTTCAGCAAGATGAGGGCAGTTTTGAGCCTTGTATAAGAGGAAGGACGGGGCCACAGCTGATTGGTATGTTTCCCCAAACTGGGCCCTTCATGCTGCCCTTGCCCCTTCACTCATCAACTGTAGACCTCTTTCCCAGGGCCTCAGGTTTCCCTCCCATGACCCCCGACATCTCTCAAACCCAAAATCCTCCCAAAGCATCCTATCCCAGGGACCTCATAACCCTTTCCATGTGGACCCTGCAGTCCCCCCACCCTGAGATCCCAGATCCTCTTCCTGTTCACCTTTCCTACTTTCACCACTGCCCAAAAGGCTGATCTCGGTCTCCCATCCCCATCCCCCTAGCTGTGTTCCCACAGACCTGGGCCTCCTGCTGCCCACCATGGCCAAAAGTGGAGAGGCCCTGCCGCAGGGCAGCCCGGTGCTGGTCCAGGATCCTCACCTCATCAAGGTGACAGTGAAGACGCCCAAGGACAAGGAGGATTTCTCAGTTACAGACACTTGCACCATCCAGCAGCTGAAGGAAGAGATAGCCCAGCGCTTTAAGGCCCACCCTGATCAGCTGATCCTAATATTTGCTGGCAAAATCCTCAAGGACCCTGACTCACTGGCACAGTGTGGGGTCCGAGATGGCCTCACTGTCCACCTGGTCATCAAGATGCAGCGCCGTACTGTGGGCACTGAGTGCCCAGCTGCTTCGGTCCCTATCCCAGCCCCAAGCCTTGGATCACTCCCTCAGCCAAGCTCCATTTACCCAGCAGACAGGCTACCCACCTTTAGCTTAGGTGTCCTCACAGGCCTCAATGGGCTAGGCCTGACCTCCGGTAGTTTCCCCGACCCGCCAAGCTCACTGATGTGGCAGGATATGTCTGTGCCTGAGTTTGTGGCTCAGATCATTGATGACGCCTTCATCCAGGGTCTGCTGTCCAACACAGGCCTGGTGCGCCAGCTGGTTCTTGACAACCCCCACATGCAGCAGCTGATCCAGCACAACCCTGAGATTGGGCACATTCTCAACAACCCTGAAATCATGCGGCAGACAATGGAGTTTCTGTGCAAACCTGCCATGATGCAAGAGATGATGCGTAGCCAGGACCGGGCACTCAGAAACCTGGAGAGCATCCCTGGTGGCTACAATGTGCTCCGTACCATGTATACAGATATCATGCACCCAATGCTTAATGCAGTGCAGGAGCAGTTTGGTGGCAATCCCTTTGCTACCACCACTACTGCTAATGCTACCACCAGTAGCTGCCAACCTTCAAGGATGGAGAACTGTGACCCTCTCCCCAACCCCTGGGCTTCCACGTTTGCAGGCTCAGCTGGTAGGAGAGGCAGGAGGCCTGGGGACCAGGATGTATCCGAACTTAGAAACAGTGTTTGCAATATTCTAGGTAATATGAGGCTCTATGACTATCTCCAGCAATTACATGAGAGGCCCCTGTCCCTGAGAACCTATCTGCAGGGGATTGCATCTACCCTCAGCCCAAGCCAAGAACCACTATCACCACCAGGAAGCCAAGTTCCCCCAACTTCACCCTCATCCCAGGAACTTGAGTCAGGCCGGCCTCTCCCCAGGGAGTCAGTAGCAATCAAGGGGAAGCCCTCCTGCCCCGCATTCTTGAGATATCCCACAGAGAGCAGTGCTAGAAAAGCTGGAAGCCGAGATGGTGCAGGGAATGGCTCCACTGCCCACAGCACCAACATGCCTGATCTTGTCTCCAGGCTGGAGTGTGCTGCCAACAACGCCCCATTTGTTCCTTCCCCACCCTCGCCCACGGCAGTTACTGCTGGAACCCCTGAGCATGTCTGGCTGCCGCCACCAGCTTACCCAAGATCTCTGAGGCCAGCCAGAATGAATGAGGCCCCACAGTTGCAGGACGAAATGCGCTGGCAGCTGCCACTGCTGCTGCACCTTCAGGCAGCCATGGCAAACCCTCGTGCCATGCATGCCTTGCTGCAGATTGAGCAGGGTCTGCAGATCCTGGCTACTGAAGCCCCTCGCCTCCTCCTTTTGTTCATGCCTTGCCTAGCAGGGCTGGGAAGTACGGCAGGAAGTACAGAGCCTCGAGAGGGTGCCCTTATGCCTGCGGATCCTCCCCTAGCCCCAGGTCCTGAAGTTCCCTCAGCACAAGGCTCTGTGGAGCTGGGCCTCCATTCCATGCCCTTCCTCCAGATGTTGCAAGCCCTAGCTGGCGCCAATCCCCTGCAGCTGCAGCCCGAGACTCACTTCCGGGTGCAGCTAGAGCAATTGCGGGCCATGGGCTTTCTGAATCCTGAAGCCAATCTGCAGGCCCTCATTGCCACCGGAGGTGATGTAGATGCTGCTGTGAAGAAGCTGAGACAGCTGTAGGAGCCCTAGTTGTTCAGACCGTATCTTTTCCTCTGTGCTTTTCCCCCCATATCCCCTACCTTAACACCCCCATTCTTGAATGCAGCTGCACTATGATGCTCTTTACTGTGGAGACAATGTTGTTCCAGAGTCATTGGGAAGAATGAGAGCCAGGACAGGGTAGGGGTGCTGCGAGTGACCCAGCCATCCCTGCCACTGTACCATCGTGGGACCCCAGTCTGAGCTCTGCTAATGCCTATCTTGAGATGCAATTACATCCAATCTTCCGTGTCATCTGCTGCCTGAGTCTGATTTTTTTGTGGTCTGTGAGAAAAGCGGGGGGTGTATAGGAGAAGAGGTGGTGGTAAGAGCTGTCTCTGCATGGATGGGAGGGCTTGGATGGGAAACCAAAAGGTTTCAAGTTAGAAGATTCAGAGGCACGGGGAACAGAGGAGGGTGAGATGAAGACTGCAGCTTTCCTGGTGTCCTTCCAAAGGTCCCCCCAGATTTGGTGTCCTGTAGGAGCTGCCACCATGCACTCTGTGTTCTTTGGGGCTCTCTACCATCAGCCAGACTGAAAAGTGGGCACAGCTTCTTATTTTTACTGCCTCTGAGCATTATCCTACAGGTGGCTCTCACTTTTGGGATTTGATTCTGATCTGAGTGGATAGCAATAGAGCAAGAATCAGGCTGAGTTCTAAGATTCCCTGATCTCACCAGGTTTACAAAGTTACTGTCCCTGGTAGCCAGATTTATAGTTGATTCCACTGCCACGGACCCAGCTTGTTCTGGATTTTGTCTTTCTTGCAATATCTAGCTCAGAAATTGAGGACCTACCCTGTGCTCAGCATTCTGCTAGGGATTAGGAATTCAATGTGAGTAAAAGAGGCATGGTCCTGCCCTCATGAGTGTATGATGGTAGCTGGAACTGTTCAAACAGTACTAATTATATATAATCACAAACTATGATAAGTGCTATAAAAGACGGGGAACTGTGAAATAGCGTAACAGAGGCTTGGTCTAGTCTGGGGAGAGAGGGAAGGGTTCTGTGAGCAGGTTCTCCAATCTAAAATCTGAAAAGTGGTAAGAATGAAGTAGGGAAAGATTCGAGAGGGGAGGGAAAAGTATGTCAGCAGAAGAACCATTATGTACAAAGGTGCTGAGGCAGGGTGTGCATAGCACACAGGAGGTGCTCTCAGCATCTCAGACTAAATTCTCATTTGCACTCAGGGATGCTTCTCAATACCCATGTGCTTCTGGGGCAAAAGTGTTACAATTCATGAATCAAGTGAGTGAACCATGCCTTCCAGCAAATAAATGTGCCAGTGAGCTCACACAGGTAAACACGCTATGGAGTAATACACTAACACAAAATGCATATTCACCTTTTTTTTTTTTTTTGTGGTACACGGGCCTCTCACTGCTGTGGCCTCTCCCGTTGTGGAGCACAGGCTCCGGACGTGCAGGCTCAGCGGCCATGGCTCACGGGCCCAGCCGTTCTGCAGCATGTGGGATCTTCCCGGACCGGGGCACGAACCTGCGTACCCTGCATCAACAGGCGGACTCTCAACCACTGCGCCACCAGGGAAGCCCCATACTCACCCTTTAATACACCTTCACATGGGCACACTTTTGTGCACATGTATGAGCATACACACAAAACACAGTCTGTTAGAGTTTTATCACCGATGGGGGTATAAACAAACAAGCAAAAATCTAATGCTGTATTCTCGTCAAGGAAAGAAAAGGGTCTTTGAAAGAGGACACCACTATAGTAAAAGTGGCCATGGTGTGTGTTTAAAAGTCAGAGACTCAGTGTTGGGGTTCCTTTTAGGGAGAAACAGGTTCTGCCTGGAATCTAGGATACTTGGACCAACCTGTCTTTACCTTTTCGCTACCAGCACATGGCTTAGAGATGAAATGAGCTTTGGGGGCAACTTTCTCCCATTGTTTTATGTTATAATCTCTAGGTGGAGCACAAGGCTTCAAACCTCCTTTTTACCCCCTCTTCACTCCCCATCAGTGAGGGAGTTCTTGTCCAGAGCAAATGAACTGTTGTTTACGTTAGGGCTAGGAGAAAGGCAGACGAAAGTCTTGCCTCTTCATTTCCTGCAACTAAGAAGGCTCTGGGACTGCTTCTGACCACTGAAGTTGTCTACTGTAATCTTTAATTTCAACGCTTGGAAGGCCAGGTAGGTCTGAGAAAAAATTCAGGGAAAGAAATGTTGCTTTTATTTACCTTTCATATGGGCTATGAAAAGCCTGAGTATTCATGTGATGTAAATTCCAGCTCACCAGGGCAGACAGTAGGTGGGAATCTGGGTCTAAAAGTCCTGGGTAGAGAGGAGAGTGCTCATTTATTGGATTGTTTTCTGGTCCTCTCCTATGGAGAGCCCTCAACTGTTGATTGTGTGTTTGGAATCTTTGCTCTAGCCTCATTGGAGACTGAACTCAACAGCTCCATGTTCAGCTCTGTGGTGGTGTCCAAAGGAAGGAGGTTCCTGGGGGTGGGGAAGGTCACTGTCCTCCACCTAGCAGCTGATGTAGGACCTGGCACATGGGAAACATTCAATAAATGATTGAATAAATGAATGTTGAATGACGAATGAAGAAACAAGTGACCAAATGAGAAGGTGGTCGAGGAGGCTAGGTAGATATGAATCAAATAAACAATCTCAGAGGACCAGGGCTTCTGCCTGGGAAAATAAAGACTGTTGGAGTTTGGGGAGGAGATGCCTTCAGGCTGATGTTACTGAAATGGCAGGCCTCCAGAGACTCCCATTTACAGTCCCTGCTCTGACTCTCACATGACATCAGCAGTGGTCTCAGTCACGTATCTGGGCCTTGAAAGGGCCCCACACTAGGGGGTTGTGTGGATGGAAGAGAAGCAGAGTCATACTTTTGGTCATATTGGGCCTAGTATGACCTTGCTCTTCCCAAAGAAAATGTACCCTTTCCTCAGACCAAGAGATTTTTTAGAAAGTCAGAGAGCAGTGAAGCTTGAAAAGCTGATTTGCATCGCAAATAGCCAGCCAGGTAGTTGGATAGCAATTTAAGAGAAAGGTGTTATCCAAAGACCAGAAAGTGCTTTTATGCATCTGTGTTCTTTATGTTTTAAAGATGTTCCCCTAATATCTCTGTCATAAATACATGGGTACATTTTTTTCTAGATATTTTAGGGTTTCACTACTTACACTTAATTTTAAATAACAGTTAACATTATTGAAGCTTTCCTCTAGACAGGCCCTGTTCCAAGCTCTTTACATCTGAATCCACGCAATTGTCATTTAATGCAAGTATTATTATTCTTAACTTCAGATGAGGAAAACTGAGGCATAAAGAGAGAGGAAGTACTTTGCTTAAAGTTTTACAGCTCCTGCATAATAGAGCCAGGATTTGAAATTAGTGAACTTCCAGAGTCTACACTCTTAACTGCTGCACAAAATCAAGTTGATTAATGCTTTAATTCTTACCGCTAGAAAGTGAAGACGGGTACTATTTGTGGTATTTCATTAGAATTTTTGCACCCCTGACTCCTGCAAGTATCTACACTGGATAGAAATATTTTCTTTACCGTATCCTGCATATGTGTACATGTGTATGTATTTTTGGTGCTTTTTGATTTAATCTACTACTTCAATTTTAACTTTGAATTTTTTTTTTTTTTTTTTTTTTTGCGGTACGCGGGCCTCTCACTGCTGTGGCCTCTTCTGTTGCGGAGCACAGGCTCCGGACGCGCAGGCTCAGCGGCCATGGCTCACGGGCCCAGCCGCTCCGCGGCATGTGGGATCCTCCCGGACCGGGGCACGAACCCGCGTCCCCTGCATCGGCAGGCGGACTCTCAACCACTGCGCCACTGGGGAAGCCCAGGGCTTTTATCTAAAACAAATTAAATTTGGATTCTCTAATTGTTGATGATCTGCTGTGGTATTTCCATTATTAACACTAAAGTCACCCGTTGGAAATAGTGAGTTATTATTTTTTCCTTCAATTTATAACGTCAGCATCTTCAGGTACTGTTAGCACTACCTACTGAGGTACCTCTGCCTCTGGTCACTCTGTTAATTCTTTACGATGGAATTTTATACCTCTAGGCTATAACTCAGGTTTTTACAGTTTGGTCAGTTTCCCTACTAAAATATTAAAATCCTATATTCACATTTTCTTTTGCATGTTTGTATTTTATTTAAAAAAATAAAACACGAATATAAAGACCCTGGTTCCTGGGAAAAGCCTATGAGAACTGAGGAATAAACATCAGAACATCAGAATGTGGTGTGCACGTCACAGTCATGTGCTAGTGCCCTGTATATACTAGAAATGCAGGGAAATAAATCCAGAAAAAGGTTCTTACTTCAATATCCATGGTGGTCTATAGCTAGGGCCAGCAAAAAGAAGGGTTCAATCACTATTCTGACCACTAAGTGCCTCTGAAAAAGGCAGCCCCCTGGGTAGCCACTTTTCTGAAATATGGTTATTTGGCTCTTTTCCTGCTTCGTGTTCATTGGCTGGAGCTCCAGGACCAATGGTGGTAAGGCAAAGCTTTCTCCACCCCCACGTCTCTGCCATCACATTCTAGTACCTCCTCTGAGAGCCCTCAGTTGTTGCATCAGCGATGTACTTCTTTCTTTGTTATTCTCTATTGCATCAACCTTTCATTTCTTTCACAGCAGTTACATAAAGTTGTAATTATTTATTGTTGCATTTAAAATTTCTTTATTTGCCTTCCCTCTTAAAATAGAAGCATCATAGAGGCAAAGAATATATGCAGTGGTAGATCCTCGGTAACTAGTACTCACTAAAATATAGGGGCTTTCCATTAAATAAATGAATGAATGAATAAATAAATGATTTTCATTAACTAACTAAATAAAGCAGAATAGATGTTTTCTATCATTAAAACTCAATGCCCAGTGATAGAACAGTAACATATCAAGGAAAGTGCTCCTCTAGGGATTTGAGTTTAATTTTTTCTATAAATGACTCTGACCTGATGATCTGGCCACTTTAGTTTAGTCTACATAGATAATATATGTATTTCTGTCTCACTTTTCTGTAGCAGTTCCAGTCTTGGCCAGTCAGTATAAGAGGTAGATATGTTCTTCACCTATTTGATGTCTCATAGCATTAATAATCCAAACTCTGAAATTTAGGGTTCGCTATAAAAGACTGAGACTCAATGATAGGAATAATACATAATAACTACCTTCATGATTATTGTTGTCATGGTTGCTTTTAAGTCACTGTTTGGTAGCCTGTAGCATTTTCTTCTAATTTTCTCCGTTTTTCTCCAGGAGCCGCATGTAGATGCTGTACAAGCCACAAGATGGCAGGAGTGGTTTATGGAACCGCTGACTCAGCTGGGGCCATCCAGAGGGCACTTTGAGGGAAGAACTTGTAGACCCCATACAAGGAGGGTTGGAGGTGGGAAACCAAAGTCTCTTTCCCCACTTCTTTTTCCCGAGGGGAGATGCTAAAAGTAAGTCCCTTTTCTTTCCATTGTTGACAGCAAAGACAACAAGGTCATTACTCTTAAAAAAAACATTGGCTTCTTTGGAGTCTTAGTCTGTATTCACGTTAACCCAAGAATGCACACAAGCTAACAATGCTCTTAGTGTAGGATGATGGAAACAGCCCCACACAGCTCCTGGCTCCAAAAACAAGACTGTATGTTTGAGTATTTTCATACATGTGTATGTAAGTGTGTTGAAAAAAGGGCAGAGGGATTATAAATAGGGATTCTCTCTAAGGAAGGTATGAAGGTAATGGTGAGGGGTTTTTCACTTTATATTCAACATGTATGAAGTATATCTATTATGTTATATTTGTATCATGGAATTATTTAAAGTATTCATAGAAATTTTAAAAGACTCAATTATTTACTGGTTACATGATCTTAAAAGATTTTCTCAAATTATCATATTTTATTTTTTATTAGTAAAAATAAGATGTAAAGAATATGTTTCATAGAGTTGTATTGAGGAATAATGAATGTGAATCTCCTATTAGTGCTGCATGTGGCTCACAGTGGCTGCTAAAATACCACTGCTAATGGATTTCTACTAACTATTAATTATCATTTTGTGCCTATCGCCCCACATGCATGCACGTATGTATCATCTTCTATCATGTTGGCCTCATGCAGTGCTAGATAGCAAGCACGTGCTTAGCTTATATTTGTGAACGAATGAACACCTACCTTTAAAAACTTCATCCTCCCTAAATGTCTAATCCTAGATCCTGGTCATATAGCCATATATATTTCGATATCCCAAGCACTCTAGCACAGATTCTACTTCAAAGGCACTTAACAAATGTTGGTAAATGAACATCTGTCTAATCTGGTTCACATGACTGACCCATGATGTAGGCTTCTTACAGGTCTATACTAGATTTGTGAGGGCCACAAGGAAGGCAAAAGTTTCTGAGTAGATGCTTCTAACATCCTCAGAGAAGAGTTCCCCTGAATCCTCACGAGAATGTGCAAATTCAACATTCTACTCCCAAGAACACTTTGGCCTACAGAGGAAAGCCACCACTAGCTCTGTAAGTTTGGTTCTTCCTGTTTCTAAGCATAACACCGTAAGTCACTCAGTCTCTGGGAACCTCAAAAATCTTGTGATAAATAGGACTAAAACTTCCGCCAGGTCCTGTTTTTCTTGTAAGAATAGAATGCAAATCTTTCCATTAGAATATCTTACATACTATCGAGCATTGTGCTTGTAAGCAAAGTTTTGCAAAGTCTTTGCTTTCTGTGGCAGGTCAGACCAGGTCTCTACTCATCCTGAATATCCAATAATCCCATTTTCACAAAATGTCTAATAATAACAATCATAGTAATAATAACTAAAACATCTATAATATTTACTATGGGCTAGGAACGATGAGGTACATTACATGTATTAATGCATTTCATCATTAAAACCATCCAACACACCAAACAGACCAAAGCACAGAAAGATGAAGTGATTTGCCAGAGTACACAGCCAGTAAGTGGAAACTGACATTCTAAACCAGACCGTTTGATTCCAAAAGTACTGCACTAGTTTATGTATAGAGAAGCATGAAACAGTGAGTTTTTAGAAATCCAGAGAGGTAATAACTGGACGACCCATGCTGAGCCATAATTAAGTGGTTGAAGGTGCAACAAATCTGAGTGAGCTGGCGGCTCCATAGAAGCAAAGAGTCAAGTGAAGCTGGGGTTACTTGTGAGGTGTAATTGTAAGAGGGGTAGTTTTGCCTTGGTAGAAGTAAAACTTTGAAGAATGTCTGAGTCCTTACTAACTGCTGAGTAAGGACGGGGAAATGCTTCATCTTGGTCAAGATTTGGTTGTGAGGCATGAGATAATGAGAATAGATACAGGGGGAATGCTTCAGGAAGAAGATACATTTGAATGCATACATTGTGCGAGTGTCTCTGTTGTGACAAGTCAGCACATCAGAAACATCACTTTTCTTCTTAACTTCAAAAACCTCTGTTAAAAATGGCTTTATTCCAGTTAACAAAGAAATGACTAAAACCCAGTGGTTAAAGGGCTTTGCAAGTTCACGTGCCTGTGTTCAGTTCTCTTCCATCTGAACCACATTGAGATATTAGAGACTGTTTTCTGCCCCTTTCCTAGAGCCTTTCTTCTAGTTCATTCACTGTAGGGGGGTGGGCTGTATTTGCAAAGCTTGGGAGGGGAGTGGTTAGAGACCATAAGGTCTGTGGCTAAGAGATAAGACTCCAAGTCCTAGAAGGGGCTAAAAGTTTGGGTCTGTGTCTCTGGGCTCGGATAACTGCCCCACCTTAACCCTCCCAACCCTGCATGCACAGGAACTCCTGCTTGGGCCTGGATAGGGGTTAGTCATTGGTGAAGAATTATTTTCCTGAATTTTTTGGGGACCCAGAGGAACACCCTGATTTCCCATCTTCTTTTAATATCCGACCCACAGAAAGACCTTCCCTTAACTCTTTTCTGATCTTCATTTCAATGTTCTGGCCCTTTCTCCTTTGTCTTCTATAATCCTTTCACTCATTTTCCTTTCCCTTTATTCCACTGACCTTTCACTGCCCACCTAAGGCTTGCTCTGTCCTCTTCACTCACTGTTTATCTTGCCCACTTGGGCTCATCTCTAAGGCACCTAATCTTTAGCACAAGCACAAAAGCTGGACAAGCAACGCATGCCCCTTAGGAGCTCTTGTGTTATCAACTGGCCCACAACATGCTTCTCCACAGGGTGGTTGATTGATTCTAAGCCCCCCTCTAACTATCTCCTAGCAGTGCTTCAACTTGTATGTTTCCCAGAGCAGGTGATGGTTCTGGGCCTCTGCTCTCCAGCCTCCATTCATGTCTCTGTGGCCACAATCAGACTCCTCAGATCCCCCAGAGAGGCAGGCAGAGGTCCTCTATGAATGGTTAGGGACATAAACTTTGTCCTGTCTTCAAGCCAGCATATATATATATTTACATCTTTATTGGAGTATAATTGCTTTACAGTGGTGTGTTGGTTTCTGCTTTATAACAAAGTGAATCAGTTATACATATACATATGTTCCTATATCTCTTCCCTCTTGCGTCTCCCTCCCTCCTACCCTCCCTATCCCACCCCTCCAGGTGGTCACAAAGCACCGAGCTGATCTCCCTGTGCTCTGCGGCTGCTTCCCACTAGCTATCTACCTTACGTTTGGTAGTGTATATATGTCCATGCCTCTCTCTCGCTTTGTCACAGCTTACCCTTCCCCCTCCCCATATCCTCAAGTCCATTCTCTGCTAGGTCTGTGTCTTTATTCCTGTCTTACCCCAAGTTTCTTCATGACATTTTTTTTCTTAAATTCCATATATATGTGTTAGCATACAGTATTTGTCTTTCTCTTTCTGACTTACCTCACTCTGTATGACAGACTCTGGGTCCATCCACCTCACTACAAATATCTCAATTTCGTTTCTTTTTATGGCTGAGTAATATTCCATTGTATATATGTGCCACATCTTTATCCATTCATCCGATGATGGACACGTAGATTGCTTCCATCTCCGGGCTATTGTAAATAGAGCTGCAGTGAACATTGTGGTACATGACTCTTTTTGAATTATGGTTTTCTCAGGGTATATGCCCAGTAGTGGGATTGCTGGGTCATATGGCAAGCCAGCATATATTGAGCACCTATGTTTTGCTAGAGAATGTTGATTTAAGTGGAGGTGATGCCTGGACCATAGCCTCTGCCCTCAAAGGTTATTGGTAAAGAATTTTTTAAAACGCCGTATAATTTAAATGTATCAGTTTGTACTAAATAAAATCAGGTGTGTTTTATTGCAATGTTAAGTCTCACCAGGGCCTCAGTGCACCTGGAATTGTGTGAAGCTAGTAGTCAGAGTCACACCCAGAGCCCTGTCAGGGCAACAAGATGACATGTGTATCTCACTAATGTGTTAATTCATGAATATGCTTTATGGAAGGACTGATTTAGGGTAGTAAAAGGGTAGTAAAAGCATATCTACATCTTAGAGGAAAAGATGGTTGCTGACTGGCTGTTATTCTACTCTATCTAAATGCACCTCTTCACAGTATTTTCTAGCACATGTTTACCTCAGGGGAGGAGGGATAAGTAACTTCAATGACTCATTGCCAGGCTGGAACTAGCAACACCCAGCTTTCAAACGCTCTGTTTATGGGCAAAGAATTTGACAATTATTTAACAACTCTGACTTACAAATGAAAAGTGATAGTTTTCAACATTTCATAATTTAAACATGGTAATGAAGATGTTGTAATTTTTCTTTCCTTTCCTTTTATATTTGCCTGAAATCTGAAAAAAAAAATTTTTTTACCACTACATTTCACAAACATTTTACTAAACCTCTTAAAATCTCCATTCCCTGGGTCTTGTCCTCTTCCCCTTATTTCATGGTGGTTTGTAGGCATGGGCATGGGTGTGTGTGAGTCTGTGCATGGGCGAGTGCATATGTGTGGGTGCGGGTGTCCCCAGAAACACTCTCTAGCCATGTGATCTTCTCCAGGCCTCACCTCAGTTTCCAGTTTCTCCATCTGCGAAACAAGGTTACTGGATCTTCTCTCTCTCTGTCTCTGTCTCTCCCTCTTAATTAGCATCCTGTAAAATGGACTTGTTCAGGATGCAGAGCATTTCCAACATCCTAAAATAACTTCTTCTCACTGTGTTTTATAGTTACACATTCCATGCCTAACCCCTGACCATCAAATTTGTCTTTTCAAAAACATCATATAACAAAAATTGTATGATGTGTAATTTTTTAAGATTAACTTCTCTCACTTAGCATAATGGCTTTGAAATTCATCTAAGATGTTGTGTTTATCAATAGTTTATTCCCTTTTCATTGTTGAGTAGTATTTCTCATATGGATGTTCCGTTACATGGATATTAACTATTTTTCTACCGTTTCTTAATAATTTTCAATTGGCTGGTGTTAACCTCCACTTATGTTCCACTTTGACTACCCTTTCCATGTCCATTCCTAAGCCATTTCCATCAGCCAGAAATCTCCCACATCCAAATCTTAAATGCCAGATCCTCCTATCTTTTTACCTCTCTTTCTCACGTACCTTGTAGCAATCACGTGAGTCTTGTTGTCTTTATATTATATGTATAATTTTCCTCCTTTCTTTATTTTCTGTCCATATTGTGGATACTCCTTCATGAGACCTCTTCCCCAACTACTCCTGTTATCTGACTTCTTACTGATTCCCCTTATAGCATTCACTAGCCTTGACTTCCCTGATAGCCCACCCAAGCCTCTTGGCATGATTATCAAACGTTATCACTGTTGAACAGCTGGATCCAAAGGTATTGTTGACAGATGGGGCAAGGGAACAAAACTAGCAAAATGAATTGTAATAAGGATAAACATAGGTACTGCATTTAAAATTAAGATTCAACTCCATAACTGTAAGTGGGAAATACAGGTATTTTTTTTTTTTTTTTTTTTGCGGTATGCTGGCCTCTCACTGTTGTGGCCTCTCCCGTTGCAGAGCTCCGGACACGCAGGCTCAGCAGCCATGGCTCTCGGGCCTAGCCGCTCCACGGCATGTGGGATCTTCCCGGACCAGGGCACGAACCCGTGTCCCCTGCATTGGCAGGCGGACTCTCAACCACTGCGCCACCAGGGAAGCCCAATACAGGTATTTTTTAAGGTGGCTTGAAAGCTTAGGTGTAGAACCTGGATGCTCACACGAGTTCAGGGTGTAACAATAATAGAATAAAGTCAGTTATGTGGACCTATCTTACTGTTGCTACTCAATGCCCTGAGAGCTTCAAACTTTTATCTAATCGATCCTCCTACAAATTCTTCGAGTTACTTTTCATTAAAACTCCTAATGTACAGATGAAAAGACTGAGACTTAGGTGGGTCTCTTAGGTAGGTTAAGTATTTTATCCAAAATCATACATTGTGGAACTTAGTAAGATATATTCATAAAAAAAGAGTTTGTGATGCAAGTGAGGTGTTTTGGTCATACGAACATAAGTAGAATATTCTGACCACCTGTCACACGTTAAAAGGGACCTTGCGTACCTGCTGAAGACTTGA